TGTTGCAGCATGTTACAAACCCCTGTCAGCTCCCAGCTGCCAAATGTTCACCATTTGTTTGTACTGAAATGTTCCATTCTTGTTCTTGGTCTCAGACATGTATTTCCTTTCAAGTTCTTACAGAAATAGCATCCTTGCTTTCTGCAAAGGGGCTTGGGAAAAGAATAGTTTGAACAGTGCAGGCTTGTTTTTTCAGCCATTCCAGAAAGGAGCAGAAATTCAGGGAGCTGAAGCAAGGACTTCAGATGAGAGAGAGCAGCCATCTCTTTGGGGTTTTTCCCTTCAGATCCTTGTCTGACTATTATCAGACCCCTTAGGAAACCATGTTTAGATTTATCAGCACAAATACCAGTCTTTCTGGGCTACAGCTAACCGGTTGTTGTAGAAATAACCAGTGAAGCCTGGCTGAAAAGTATATCCTGATTCCTTTGATTTTATAGAGGAATTCACACCCCTAATTCTTGGCAGCCTGGCACATTCTTTAAGATAAAATAAAAAGGCCTCTCCGCCACTTTCCAGAGAGTTTTGGTCCAGCTGATCTATTGCCAGTAGAGAAGATGTGGCCAATAGTGATACAGGAAAGCTCTTCGATGGCTGATGTCTAGCTGCATGTGTTCTTCTCCCCCATCAAAACGAAGTGTTGGGTTACTAGAACATTGGCCCATAGCATCCTTGTAGCCAACACAAGGTGGTATGGACCGGATGAGTGGACTGCAAAGTGAGTGAAAAACAGGCTGGACAGGTGAGCTCAAAGTGCACAGGTCAACACTCCAAAGTCTAATAGGAAGCCAGTTCTGAGTAACATTCCTCAGAGGGTCAATATTGGTACCGCTGCCATTTAACATCCTCACCTACAGGAGGAAAAGGACGCAGAGAACACCTTGAAGAGTTCACAGATGTTATCAAACTTGAAGAAGAGGTGGCTATGCTGGAGGGCAGCACTGCCATTCAGGGCCTAAATAAGCTGAAGAAGTGGGCTGGCAGAAACCGTGCGAAGTCCAGTAGTGACAAATGCAAAGTTCTGCATTGCTTGCACAGCCCCATTCCCAGTGCAGGCTGGCTGCTGCCTGCCTAGCAAACACCTCTGCAGGAAAAGGCCTTAGGCTGCCAGAAAACTACTAGTTGAACAAGACTCAGAAGTGAAGCTCAGCAGCCATGTAGGCCAAATCAATAGTGGACTGCAGAAGCAAGGGAGCAAGCCAAGGGAAGGGATTATTTACCTTTTTTTGACACTCATGAGGCTGCGTCTGGAGCATTGTTTCCATTTCTGGTCTTCCCAGGGCATGAGCAATACTGATATACTGAATGGGGTCCAACGAGATCAGGGATCTGGAGCACTTAAGGAGAAGCTGCGGGAGCCGGGTTTGTTCATACTGGTTGGATTTGAGACCTCCAGAGGTCTATTCTCACCCAAGTTGTTCTCTGAGTCTGAGTATGTGCAACTGTAGAACATGACAAACAGCAGGACTGAGATTTGCTTCAGCAGCCAGCGTTTTACAGCTGGGGTTTGGCCAGAGTGGTACACGGTACAGTGATCAGCATTTAATCAAGTCAACATTTCAAGCCTCCCTCCCACCCCACAGCTCAGTTTATCTCTACAGACACATACATGTACACAAACAAGAGGAAACAGGATCCCAGAATCACTTGCTGAGTATCTCTTAAAATGTGTCTCCCCATCTTTACATCTACAAATGGAAAAAAGCTCAGAGCATGACATATGGTGCCATTTGATTCAAGTAAGGGGCAGCTGGAGGAGATAGTGGACAGAAGACAAAGAGCTTGCCATTCCATTTGTGCCATACTGTATCATTTAGCGAGCACATCCCTTGTGGTATGAATGGCCTCCCTGCTGGTGACAACACACGGTAACTCAGAACTTGTAGATGACAACAAGTATTAGCAGTACAACACCTTTGTGCATGTCTTCATCGATAGCTGGCTCCCAGCACCTCACGCCACCCACCCCCCAACACATTAATCACACAGGCAACACTTGTATTCCCAGCAACTTCTGAACCATCTCACCCCACTGTCTTTATCTGAACAAGATGTCATCACTGTATACTGAGTGAATGTTGATTTCCTTAGCTAACGGCATTTTCCCTTTCAACGTGAATCTTTAGCTTTGGAATTACATGCTAATGACTTGGTGGTACAGGAGCATAAGGCTTGTGAAGAACATCTGCTACGGGACTGTGAATCACTTGCAATGTTAGCCTGTGGTCCAGTATGTGCCAGAAAAAAACCCTGACATCCACACAACAGTGAAGTGTTTTTCTAGGAATAGTTTTGCAGCATTGGCTTCAGTTCATCCACACATTACCAGAGCTTCCTATTACTTCAACTGTCTGACATGGTATTTTCCTTGCTTTTGATGAGTTAGCCTGATTACAAAGCAACTGCTTTGGAGGTCTTGTTTAAGGTTTCCTTTGCCTTCTTCATTCATACTCTTCCGTAGTTCATAGCTGTGCATTCATGTTGCTCATGGTATAAATCTTGATAGGTATGTCAGTATTCCTTGTGCAGTTGCTGACTTCCAGAGGGAAGTTGCTGTTCACTAGCTGCTTGCTTTATTTTGAACCAAATCCAATGTCTCCTCTTTCTGCAGTGTGGGCAAAATCATTCAGTTCCTCTGTGCAGATTTGCATTTTGCTGTGAATCAGTTTCAGGCTGCACTCTGCTGCTTAAGAGCCCGTGCGGCTCCTGCCTCTTCTGCTCCATCTGCTGCTCCATGCAGATCATCCACTTCTTCTGCTGCGCTTGCTCTGCTTCATAGAGCCTGGGCAGCTCCTGCCTCTTCTGCTTCATCTGCTGCTCTATGCACATGAGCCACTGCTTCTGCTGCGCTTGCTCTGCCTCATAGAGCCTGGGTGGCTCCTGCTTCTTCTGCTGTAGCTGATGCTGCATGCACATCAGCCCTTCCCTCTGCTGCTCCTGCTCCGCCTCATGCTGTCGCAGGTTGATTCTCGTGATGAGGTCTGACCACTCATTAACCCTGAGTGTGTACTGCAGGACGCTCAGCACTGTCAGGATGCTCCATCTGCTGCTCAATGCACATGATCCACTGCTTCTGCTGCGCTTGCTCTGCTTCATAGAGCCCGGGTGGCTCCTGCCTCTTCTGCTCCATCTGCTGCTCCATGCAGATCATCCACTGCTTCTAGCTGCGCTTGCTCTGCTTCATAGAGCCCGCGCGGCTCCTGCCTCTTCTGCTTCATCTGCTGCTCCACGCACATCATCCACTGCTGTGGATTGGCTAAGGAATGGCGGACATTTCGTGACCGACCCAGACGTCTTAGCCTTAGGAGATGCTGGTTATAAAGAACACGGCTGAATAATGGACATGTGAGCCATCCCAGCTGCTTGGTCTTAACCAAACTCTGAGTTAAGTTGTAAGGCCTGAATTCAAGTTACCCAGGCTGCAAGGCCTAACCTTAGGTTACTAAAGGACAGCTATGTGCAGCGGAACAACGAACTTGGCGTTTGCTCAAGGTTAAAAGGATGTGAAAGCAGGATGGCGAAACTGCAAGATGTGTGCAAAAAGTAACAAATGGACAAGTTTTCAGCTAGCCTGTCACCTGCTTCGAAAATGTGTGGACAGCACTGTAGAGAAAATCAGAATCTATATTGGTTATATCAGCTAGTTCTGTAAACTATAAAAGCTGTTGATGTGTGTGAATAAATTTGGCAATCTCTTGATCACATTGATCGTCTCTGTGTTGTCCGTGACTCCCGCGTCTACACCCTGCTTCTGCTGCGGTTGCTCTGCCGCATTGAGCCCGAGTGGCTGTCCACATTTCTGAGATCTGTGCTGTACCTAGAGATGGTGTCAGGTCTGCAGATCTTTACCATTCCAAGTGTCGTAGTTTTTCTTACTCTTGCTGATCCATGGGGCTTTAAGTGCTGCGAGCCTAGTCTGGCAGATCCCAGGCACATGTAGCCTTTTCGTCCAGAGAAGTAAAAGGATTTGCAGAGAGAGTCAGGTGGCTGCAATACAGTAGGGACACAACAACCCCAGCAGCCCTGGACAAACTTGAGTAACTTAATAAAAGATGCCTTTGAAAGTAATATTTTTCTAGAGCTAAATTGTTAAGCAAGTATTTATGAGCAGGCTTTCCATGTACTTTGTGTGGTGCTTTGCATTGACCACATAGACCTGTTACACGTTTACACATCTTAATGATTGTCTTTGAAGTGTATGTAGTAATTGAATGACGTTTATGACAGAAAACCAATGCAGTTCTGTGTAATAGCGAATGATTTAATTGCTGATGAAACTGTAGGCTTTTGTAGTGTCTCTTCTGCAAACTTAGTTTTGCTAAGCATGGTCATTCAGGATAGAGTATGGAGACTGCTTCAGAGCCTGAGGTGTGGGGCACTGCCACTGTGTGGTGAGCATGGCTAGATGCCTGGCACTAAAATTGTTCCCAGGGCCTGAGACCTCAAGCAGGTGCCTTTACTTCATGTTCTTAAAGCCTGCTTCACCTGCAGGGAGTTTGCTCTGAGTTTTTCTATTTCTTTGGAAGCTGCTGTAGCCCTCCTGCCAATTGAATCATCCACACCCACTGAACCTGGTTACTTGCTGCTCCTTCCCTCACAGTGACCTACTGTGTCACTTGGCCTCCATCTTTCTGCCCCTTTCCATGGCGTTTTCTGTTCACTGGATTGTGTAGGTGTTAGTGCATGCTGTTGTACCAGTGTCAGTGTCCCCTCACTGCAGAAACTGCCTTCCCTGTAGGTCCTGTTAAAGCTTTAGGCTGGTAACTATGCAGCTGTGTGGATGTTGGGTTTATGCTCTATAAGCCAGGAAAGCTTAGCATAGAACACGCCATACCAAACCACTGGGTTGAACTGGTTGGGTTTGCACTTGAAATGCCATATATCTTCCTCCATTGTGCTCTGGCTAGAAGGTTGTTGGGAAGTCTTCACTGTGCCTTTTCCCCACCAATGTTAGTGCATTTCAAGGAAGTGTAATAGGGTTCAAGTTTCTGATCCCATCCCCTCCTGCATGTTGTCTTTAAATCCTCTTAAGGCTGACTGATTCTTTTTAACAATTTGCATCTCTTGCTACAGAAGACCAATCTAGCATGTGTTCTTGGGGTAGGTGGATTCCAGCATTTGTAAAGAGCTGTTGTGTGCCAGTTGGGTTTCATTGCATCTTCTTTAGTATAATGTCAGTTGTGGAATTTGAACTTCTGTGAGCAATGGCTCCAGATAAAGCCCTTTGGAGTTTGCTGAGGTTTGAGAGAGGATTGGAGGCCTGTTGTGAGCTTTCCTTTTTCTGCTGCTGGGAGCACATAGTGAGCATCAGAAAGCAGAGCTGTTCCCAGCTTGCTCTGATTATCCCACTGGATAAGGCAAGAGGAGCTGCTCTGGGCCCACGAGCTCTTGAGGTTATTACTGGTTGACTGCTTTGGTTCTCTCTCCTCTTCAACAGGAACATGCCCAAGAAAGGAGGGAGGCATGCTGACAGGGCAAATGATGGGCCCGTACAGTGTAAACGAGCAAAGGTGGAAGCAGCTTGTTCTCCATCAGCCATGAGTTTTGAGAACCCAGACAGCCTCTTTGGAAGCTTGATCTCTCCCATCAAACAAGAGGTGTTTTTCAGGGAGTACTGGGAGCAAAAGCCATTGCTTGTTCAGAGGAACAATCCCCTGCTGGCTGCCTACTACCAGTCCCTGTTCCAGTTGTCAGATCTGAAGGAACTGTGTGGCCGGGGTCTGTACTATGGGCGGGATCTAAATATCTGCAGATGTGTGAATGGAAAAAAGAAAGTTTTAAATAAAGAAGGCAAAGTGAACTACATGCAGCTGAAGAAGGATTTTGACCAGAAAAAGGCAACGATACAATTTCATCAGCCTCAGAGATTTAAGGTTGGTTTGTTTAGTTGGATATAATCAATGCATGCTTTACAATGTGCTATGCTTTGCTTCAGTCATACTAGACAGTGCTTCATCTCTGCCTCAGTAAATCTGGGGGGACAGCGGTGACCTGCTGAAATCCATACATGAACTGTAGTAATTTAAACTTGTAGTTTTGCACAGCCCATCATGTTTCAGTGCTCTTTAGTAAGAACAAAATCTGATTTGTGCTATAAAACTTAAGTATTCTTTAGTTTACGTGCCAGAGCAGTTTTTTGCTTTGTCACATACAAGTTTAGAAAAAGAAATGCACAAAATTGATTATGTATCTGTGTCTTCTTAAATTATCACTTCTGCCTCACTGTTTCGTTGTGCAAACAGGGGCTTTTGTATTGCTTTCCTTTAATGGAGGGCAAGGTGTGATACTGATACCGGGAAATAAAGGGTTAACATTGTGCCTGCTTGCTTAAGCAGTCACTATGCTTGGTGAAGCAGAACCATAGGAGTCAGTGTTGCTAGAATGGTAAAGCAGAATTGTAGGAGTTACAGCGGCTAGGCACAACTGTAGTAGATAAGATTCATAACTTAATATTTAAACAAGAATGTCTTAAATGTCTTTAGAAAGAAAAGGAACAAAAGATAGCCAGAGTAACAAAATTTACAAACTTGACAAGTTTCTGCTTTAAGATACATAAAACCGGCTTGTACTGAACCTGAGGTTTGGACAGGAGCCGAAACCCTATTGAGTCTGCGTGAAAGCAAGAGGTTGCTCACGGTGATGAAGAGGAACTACAGGCCTTCATCCTCACAACCCCTCAAGAACCACCACCAGGAGGCACTGCACAGGTGCACGAATGGGATGAATGCCAGAAAACTAATTATAATACTCGACGGGAATAGGTTTTGCATATGTATTAGGCGTGAAGCAATCTCATGTTTAGGTAATCATTATATGTAATATAAATGAACTGAGTAGCAAAGGAAGGGTGCGCATGCTTTTGGAGGAGGAACCCCCATGTGCCTCAGGGCTGAATAAAAGCATACCTAGTTTATAACTCTAACGAGTTGTGGAGTCTATCCGCATATCACATACAGCTCTGTTTCTCTCCTTCCCTGTGATTCCCAGCGCTTCCTCCACTTGCTCAGTAGAGTCTTTAGCTGTGGCACAGGTTCTGCTTCCCAATCCTTTTTGAGTCTTGTGGTGGATGCTATGGTGTGTGTGCCCCTGGGTTCATAGTCTCAGGCAGCTGCCCTTCTCTTGAAGGGAGTGGTTGTGCTGGCAAAGGAATCCCAAGGGAGTCTGGGATGTTATTCTCAATTCCTGCAAATTTGATTCCCTTGCAGCAGAGAAGAAATCCCCATTATCCCCTGCTGCAGCACAGCTCCACTGCTTGACAAGTGCCCCTGCCCCAGCCTGGCATCTGCATTGAAACCATAGCAGGGAGCAGCAATGCCCAAAGTGATGAGGCAAGCTCAGGGAGTTGAGACCCCAAGGCAGGGTCAGGGCTCCCATCACCAGGGTACCAGCCTGGTGTGAACACGGCCATGCCACAGCTCAGGCAGGGGCCAACCATGAAAGAACCATGACTTAAAAGCAGTTCCCGGGCTAAGGAGGGGGACACCCCACGAAAGCATCTCAGCAGGGTTATGCAGGGGATCCTCCACAAAAGCTTCTTCCAGCTCTTTTTTCCTCACAAGCTCTGACAAGCCAGCTGGTCTGGAGCTGCCAGCCAGAACCCTAGAAGGGGGAGAGTATACTCAGGACCCTGAGAAACTGCTGCTGAGGTCTGTGTTTGCCACTCCATTCCATGCCTTCAAAATCCAGGAAAGCATTTGATTTTCTCTACCATGAGGCAGGCCTTAAGATTTTTTATCACATTTCAAGGATCTGAAGGCTTTTGGTCCCAGGACCAGTTTTGCTGTAATTTCTATAGCACAGAACTGGAGATACTTGACACGCTGATGTATACCTGCATGAAACACTGCATTTCTCTGCTGTGCCAAATGCAGGTCTCTGCATCTTGCTGGTCTTGTGGTGGTGTTCATGGAGTGGATCAGGCCATGCTTCTCCTTTACTCCCTCCCAGGGTGGTAGCTGCCCTGTGCCCTGGTAAGAAAATCCAGTGTCTCCTAGGTCATGTTACGAGAATGAGTGATGCCTCACCGCCTTCCTCTTGCTCTGGAAAGCCAGGGAAGAGAGCAGTGTTACTGCTTCTGAATTGCTGTCCTCAGGTGCTCTGCAGTCACATGTGTGGGTAGGGCCAGTTACCTTTCCGTCTGCTTGAGTGACAAGCTCTCACCTGCACTCCTGAGAGCCAGTTCTGCTTGTTGCTTTGCGCAGTGCAATGCATAGCACCAGCGTCCTGCTAACGTACCTCTGCTTCACTTGAACTGCTGGATGTAGCTCAGGCCCTTCGCTTCCTCCTTCCTTTCTCAGCAATGCGTATGGCACTCAGCTGTCCCTGGCTCTCCATTTTATGGGGTACCACTCCCCCACATTCTTCTTCTAAATGCCTGCGCTCCGTGAAGCCCCTCTGTTCAAGTACTAAATGGCTCTTCATCACTAATTTTCTTTGTACCTCTTTCTGGTTTGACCTTGCTAAGACCTTCTCCTTCATCACATCATTCCTTGCCTGTCAAAGCAGAGTTTTCCTTATAGCCTCAGCTGTCCACTCACTACCAGCCTCATCCTGCCCAGTTTGTCTGTTTGTTTTCTCCTGGATCATTTGTGTTTGTGCAGAAATGGTTTCCCTTGGAGAGCTTCCATGTGTGTGCTGTTCCCCTCCAGAGCTCTGGTCACACCCTCCTTCCCCCCAGGACCCTGTCATCCTCTGCCCTTGCAGACAGTGCTTCCTCCTCTGCAGGAACACCCATCAAAGCTCTCCTCCACTCCAGCCTCGTTCTCTCTGTGGCAGGGAGCAGGAGGGGCATCTGTGGAGGACAGTCAGCAAGTCAGGGTCAGGATCAGGTCTGGGGGAAGTAGCATCCATTCCCCATCACATCCATCAGTTCACACTGTTGTTATGCTCTGGATGCCTTCTTTTGCACTTTTTCCCCACCAAACTACCACCCCATCGTCACCACCACCACTATTTGTGCACTGCTCCCTTCCAGTCTTTTCCCTCTGAGCTCACTTTGTCTCCTGTCCATCACTAAGTTCCTCACCAGTCCCTACTGCCCACAACGCATTAGGCTCCAGCTCACCTCTTTTTCTGTCTTTCCAGAAATCCCCCATGCCCCTGCTATGCTCCCTTCTGCTCCTTTCCCTCCCCTCTTTCTCCCCTTTGTGCAATGCCCATGGGTTTGCCTGCATTAAGGAGACAGCCAACATCATACCAGCTACTACTTGGAGGACATTTGAGTGTTAGCTGCCAGCAACTGAATCCTTCCTGCTCCTGCACCTCTCCCCATCATCACACCTCTGGGTAGCCACTCAGACCAGCACCACAGACGTTTTCCTGAGTTAATTTCCAGTTGTAAAAGAGAGCTAATCTGAATCATCTTGCAGCCTTGTGGGCCAGGTCCATGTACAGGAATAAGAGATGGCCAGAAGCACCCAGAGGAGCAGAAGAAGAGAACTGGAACAGCCCATTTTGTCAGCACTGCAGCATCAGGGGAGCTAAACAGGACTACACACCTTGGGACAAATCAACAATAAGGGCATGCTATTTGGCTTCTCTGAGCAGCTCGATGACTATCACGGATCTTCAGCCTTGCAAGGAGACGTTCAGACATCTTTCTTGCTGAGTAACGCTATCAGGGGACTGGCAAATGATGCAGTTTAAAGGTAATTTTGCTCAAAAGCACAATCAGAATAAAAAATGTGCCCTCTGGCTCTGCAGGCACAAAGTCCAGTGTCAGCACCAGTAAATATGGGCCCTGGGCGATAATACAGATAATAAATAAAAGGACCAATGAGGTTTGCTTTTCTTTTGTTAATATGGGAAAACTCTGCTGGGACACTGCCTTAATAGGGGTATACAATGAGTGTAAAGTGAGAGCAGAATGAAGCCCTAGAAGCATAGCTCTTACTTCATGCAGAAAAGGCTGTTGAGGAAGAACTCCCTGAAATCAGAGGAAAGTCATTGTATTGCTTGGCACCTGCCCAAAGTGATTTCATCTTCTGCTCAGGATTAAGATGCATTAATAGCCTGAAGGCAGCAGTTTCCTTGCCAAAAAATGCCTTTCTTCCCCCACCGCCTCCCACTTTGTTTTAAACATGAGGCCTTGCAGGTCAGGAGTGAACACTCAGTGAGTATTACTTGCATTATGAAATGAAAGTGCAGCAATATCATTTTCTTTCGAGCAAACACTGAGTTAATTAAAATGTGCACTCTGAACTTGGCAAATTGCAAATTATTCATGAGAAAGGTATGGCTCTGTCTATTGCAAAGGCAAACTAATAATAGCCAGAGATAAAGCACCAGAACAGCAGCTGTTAAGACTAAGCCAAGCTAAAAGTTTTTCTGGCAAAGCTCTATCTCTGAGAGTGTCATTTACCCTCAGCCCACTCTCTATCCCAGACCAATATAGCAAAGCTGGCAGAAGCCTTCATGTAAATGTGATTATGCTGGCCAGAAGATCCTTTCAGCCAGAGAGCTGAAAGAGAGAGGTTTTGCTCTTTTTGAGGAAACAGCAAAATCTGCATAGCCCAAAGCACTCCTGCTGACCAGATTGTGCCCCAGGAGGGAGCAGGGTTGGTACAGCTAGATGGAGGTGACATTCAAAGGCTGGAGTGAGAAAAGGTTCCATCACTCAGAGGCCTGATCCAGCCGACAAGGATCACACCCCTACCACACTCCTACCCCCATCTCATGGCCTTCTACTGAGTAGCTTTTTCCATAGCAGAGCAATGATAACAGAAGGCTCATCTACTATCACCTACACCTCTGTATCACCATGGGTACCTGTGCAGGTCTCCCCTTGGGTCTCAAGAGGCAATCACGGACCCAAACAGCCATAAC